CAGGAATCTGGCCTTGTAACCTGGGAGCTGCTCCCTTTATTGCTTCTGTTCCCAGCCTGTTGAGCACAGAGGTCCTGCCAGAGTGGAGCAGGCCACAAGGGCCTGCAGCTTCATAGCTTCCTTTGGAGGGATCACTCAGTTTGGAGTAGTGGGCAACATCCTCATCCACCAGCATCATCAGTGGGAGTGATGCTCTCAGAGGAGGGCAAGGAGGCGAGGCCACGAGTCTGCTAGCATGAGGTTATAGTTGTGGTTGGAAATAAGCATGTTCTGGCCAAGGATGTGCTATAGAGACTGAAGACAGTTCAAGCCACAGTGCACTTCTGGCTAGTCTTAAGGATGCACCCATGTGAAAAAAGGCTCACTCGCTCACCTTGATGAGCATGCACACCCTATAGCAAATTAAAACAAAAGTGGGCCCAGTAGAAAATAAAGCTTCCACAGATTTAAATACAGTCCATTCATTGAACATTCTCCTGGACCTGGTGGCTTAAACTCAACGCTGGGTGCGTGCCCAAGATCCCGAGAGGAGAATGGAGGAGAACGGATTGAGGCGTGGCTATCCCCTCTGGGGGCTGATTTCTCACTTTCTATCTCCCTGTCTGTCCCTGTCTTTCTGGAGAGCGCATACGCCCTGTAGCAGAAACCTCGCCAAAAAAAACAAATAGGTTTCTACCAGATTTAACAGATATAGATGAGACAAGTTATTAAACAGTCTGTAATTACTGGGGGGAATTAGAAACCAGAGTTATTAAGATTTATTATCTAAAATGTCCAGTTTCCAACAAAAGAATATACATTTTAGGATTATATAAATAAATAAGAACATGCGACCCATATTGAGAAAGAAAAAACAAGTCTAGAAACTTGTTTGAGTACTTTTTGAGTACTTTTCGATGTTTGATTTAATGACGACTTAGAAGCAAGGATCTTGAAGGTGGAGCAACAGAAATGATACATTTTGGGAACCAGCAGTTAGTGTAATGGCTATGTCGCTGGACTCCCACATAGTCGACCGCGGTTCACATCCCGGACCCGGTGGCTTAAAACTCATGCCGGGCGCATGTGCATGCATGCCCAAGATCCCAAGAGGAGAATGGAGGAGAAGGGATTGCGGCGTGACCATCCCCCCGGGGGGTGATTTCTCACTTTCTGTCTCTATGTCTCTCTCTGTCTGGCGAGCACACGCGCCCTATAGTGAAAATCTCTCCAAGAAAAAAAAAATTAAAAAAAAAAAAAAGAAGTGATACATTTTGAAAAACACAGGAAAAGGAGCTGAAAGATATGTAGGACAGCATCTACTTTACCAAAAAATAAAGTATGAAAACTCAAATTTGATTTAAAAATCATTTACCGGGTCCAGCAGTCGATGTAATGGCTATGTCACTGGACTCTCATGTAGTCGACTGCAGTTCGAGTCCCGGACCTGGTGGCTTAAACTCACGCCAGGCGTGTGTGCATGCGTGCCCAAGATCCCAAGAGGAGAATGGAGGAGAAGGGATTGCAGCCTGGCCATCCCCCCTTGGGGGGTGATTTCTCACTTTCTGTCTCTGTCTCTCTCTGTCTTTCTGGCAAGCACGTTCACTATATAGCAAAAAAAACTCTCAAAAAAAAAAAAGAAAGAAAACATTTACCTATTCAAGAAGCTCAGTAAATTTCAAGTAGTACAAATACAAAGTCACACCATAGTCAAATTGATGAAAATCAGAAACAAATCTCAAAGAGCATCAAAAGAAAAACAGCCTCATAAAGGGCAAGTGGCATAGTGGTTAAAGGTGCTAGACTCCCACATTGGATCTCCCACATTGGATGACCAAGATTCGAGGCCAAGACCCAACGGCTTGAAGCTGGCCACAGAATTAAGTTTGTTTGGGACCAGCAGTTAGCGTAATGGCTATGTCACTGGACTCCCATGTGGTCAACCACGGTTCGAGTCCCGGACCTGGTGGCTTAAACTCACGCCAGGCGTGTGTGCATGCGTGCCCAAGATCCCAAGAGGAGAATGGAGGAGAAGGGATTGCGGCATGGCCATCCCCCCCGGGGGGTGATTTCTTGCTTTCTACCTCTCTGTCTCTTTCTGTCTGGTGAGTGCACACGCCTTATAGCAAAAATCTCTCCAAAAAAAAAAAAGAAGTTTGTTTTAATCTGATGAGTATTATAATTCCTTAAAGAACCACTGAGAAATTATTTTTGGGGGGACCAGGAGATGGTGTAATGGTAACGTTGCTGGACTTTCATGTAGGCAGCCACGGTTCGAA